GGGGAAAAAGGGGGGGGGAAAGGGAGGGAGGTTTCGAGTTTGAAAGCTCAAGCAAAAAAAAAAAAAGGGTGATATTGTTATTAAAAAAAATTTTTTTTTTTTAAAAAAAGATGGGGCTTTTCCAAACTCGGTTGCCTGCCATCCTTGTGGACGTAGTAGAAAGAAGATGTGCACTGATGCTGTTGATTGAATTCAGGAGCATCTCTGGGGGAGGGGAAAGGGAGGAAACTGGTTGCTTCTTATTAAAAAAAAAAAGGGGGGGGGAAGAAAGAAGGATGGGGGTTTAATTTTCCTTCAAACATCCACAGGACTGGGAACGCTTATTCCTTGTTGTGTGTGAAATGGAACCTTGAATCTTGGCTGGGTGGAAAAGCTTCCTATGAGCTAAAGGAAACAGGGAAGAGTTTGTAGTAGCACCAATTAGAACAGTGCAAGAGGAAGACACTTTATGCTGCCATCCCATTCCCATTGTTAGTTTAGCTGCATGCAGCTTCCTTAAAGGGGAGTGGATGAAGGCAACTTGGGAACTGCACTTACCCGGGATGCCAAGATTTCCTTGGGAGTGTGGGCATACATTGCCTCTGAACAAGAGGGGGGCGCTATTGTTACCACTATGATAAATCACTGTTTTAAAAAAAGAACAGCAGGTGCAGGTGAATAGAGGAGGGCACTAAACCTGGATTGCCTCCATTTTGGGGTGGGAAGGTGGATGGAACAGGGTGACAACACACTCGGGGACATGAGATCAGAATGGTAGTTGCTGTATCAAATGATGAAATAATAACAGGATAGTTTTGAGTTTCTTTCCTGCTTTTCTTCCCATCACACAGTTCTCAAGATAAGCCACCATCCACTTAGCATCTTTTTATCATTGCATTCCCAAGAAGTCCACAGGGCTTCACTGCTAGTACTGCAATTTAATTATCTGGTAGATTGCTTGGTTAAACTGCCAGACATTACCATTATCAGTCAAAAAGGATCTTACATGAAAGCCTCTAGGCAGCATCATTTAGTTACTGCCCTCAAATCAATGACTCTGGGCTACTTCTCTGAAATTAGAGGAATTACTTCTTTCATATCTAGTGCAGTTGGAGATGGCTATAAGATTGCATTTCTGGGCTCAGAAGAATGAGATTGTGTCAGGAATCTTATTTTTGTGGTAAAAGTTGTCCCAGAGCCATTATAATATAGGAATTAGGTACTGATAGAGTCACTCATCCTAGGTTTGTAGAACTTGGGAAATATTAACTACTTGGTGGCATTGTGCAGTAAGTCATAAAGAATATTCATCTGCAGCTTCTTCCACCTTCTGTCCTTCATTATGGAGGAGAAAACTCAAATTAACTGCTTATTACATGTTATCTTTGTCTTCAAAGCTAGTCTTTCAACATTTGAAGATGCTGCAAAGTTATAGAGTAAGAACATATCCTGAAGAACATAGTTTGCATATGGAAAATAATGCATTATGCTCTTTAAAACTTGCCTTCTTTCAGAGTAATGAGGATGGAAGAGGAGGGACAGAGATCTATATCTCTTTTTAGGTATATGATTTACCTTGACTATCAGGTTCATTCAGAGAAAAATGAGAAGGAAGGACTACATTGAATATTGCCAATATCTTAATGACTTGAAAGGTAATGTTATATATCTAGACATACTGTTTTTGGCAATAATTATAAGGAATGTTGGGACAATGCATTAGTGCATTATATCAATAACAGTGTCAATGCATCAATAGGTAGCTGCAAATAAGAGAGAGGGAGGGAAGACTTTTATATGAGATAGCATCTTATGGACAGAATTACCTAAAAATGTGGTTCTGTCATTGTTAGTTTGTTTATTCTCAGATATGGGCAGAAATTTTGCAACCCATTTTCTTTAAACGGCTTTCACTTAATTAATAAAGCAGTTGGTGATATTCTAATAAATAAGAGTTAAAAGATTTCCATGAGAAAAAATATAGAGATGGATTACTAACACACTAATGGTAGGCACATCATGTGTGAGATTTCTGATAAATTGTGTATGCATGCATACATACATGTGTGTGTGCATATATGCACAAAATATATACTTTAATATTCAGCATCTCTGGTATTATTTAAAATAGATCAGGATTTGGAAAGCAAAGTGATAATCTGATGGGATATTAATTGGAAATTATATCTTCAAATAATCAATACTACATCATTAGTTTGGCGGCCAGTAATTTGTGTGATATTTGGACAATAGATCTAGTAATAAGGTTATATGAGAGTATGGACTATTAAATGTAATAATTTTATCACAACAGATTGCTGCAATCCTTGATCCGTAATAAGTTGTTCAACAGGTAGAGAAAAGTTGAATTCATTTCTAGAGCTACAGTCTCTGAAGTTAAATTAGAACAATAAGTAGCTTATCTCTCTCCTTGGTCTAGCAATGAAAATACCAAAATAAATGTTGCCAAGTGTTTTAAAATTAACATTCTGCTTCTCTTCCATCCTTTTTCTTATTAGTGGCGGCACCTGACCTGTTGGACCCCAAATCTGCCACTCAGAACCTGAAGCCACGGCTGTCATTTTCTACCAAGCCCACTGTACTTGCTTCACGGGAGGAAAGTGATACAACTATTAATGTTATGAAATGGAAGACGGTATCAACCATTTTTCTAGTGGTGGTTTTGTATTTAATTATTGGAGCTACTGTGTTCAAAGCCCTGGAACAGCCACATGAAACCAACCAGAGAACCACTATTGTGATCCAGAAGCAAATGTTTGTGTCACAGCATGCCTGTGTGAATGACACTGAACTTGAAGATCTAATTCAGGTAATTTCCTGTATTGAAATGTGTTCTTGCCATAGATTTAAATAAAACAGTTTTGATGTTTCTGTTCCAGCTACAATGTGGTAGAACTGATATTTGGCACAATAATTTGACTTATGTTGTAATGTATAAAAAGCATTGCTAATTCCAGTTTGGTTACTAGGCTTGCATTCAACATAATCTTCCCATTAAATGCTATTCTTGTGTTTCTTAAATTGTTATTCATTGCCAGATGTAATCCAGTATACTTCTGTTACATTGGGTCAGTTGCAAATTGATTTACTTGGGAAACAAGACAGAAAAGATTATTTCTGGGCAAAAGTGAGGAGGTTTTGGTTTTAACATCTCACTTTCTACTTGGATATATAATCATTTTTTTTACTTTTTCTGCCACTTAGACTACCATTATTACATGGAAAACAGTGCCAAATTATACTACGAATCCCATATATGTTATTTTAAAATACTCTTGCAAAGTTTACATTATGCTCTCATAATGGATTTATCATAGAAACTTATGCTTTTCTTGTTTTTTTTATAAATTTGTCCTCTTTTTCTATTAACCTGTCATCTTTTGTGATTACTTAATTCTGCTTGAATATATACTATGTTGAGAACAAGAGCTCACTTATTTATTCATAGAAAGATCAGTTTTGCTTCAGTGATGATGTTTCCTTGTATGATTGAACACATAAACATTATTTCAAAACTTTTTCAGAAAGATTTCTTGTTCCTGGTACACTAATGCACTATTTAGAATAGAATGGAATACTTTAATGGCCAAGTGTGATTAGACACACAAGGAATTTGTCTCCCGTGCAAAAGCTCTCAGTGTACATGCAAAGTAACAGAGTAATAATAATCATAATAATGATACCAATAAGAGGGGGTAGTAAAGGAATATGGGAAGGATAATGATAATACTACGGCTATACAATGTGGGTAAATAGATATAAGACCGTACTGTGAGAATTAGGTGTTCAGTAGAGTGATGGCATGAGGAGAAAAACCCTATCCCTGTGTCTACTTGTTTTGGCCTGCAATGCCCTGGAGCCCCATCCTGAGGGGAGGAATGGAAACAGTTTATGTCCAGGATATGAGGGGGTCTGTAGATATTTTTTCAGCCCTCCTTCTGATATAAATTATAAAGTTTGTCTTTAAAATAAATTTAATAATAACATAATAACAACATAATAGTATAGGGGGTACCTTGCTCAATAGTAGTAACTGTGAGAGGGATCTCAGAGTCCTAGTGGACAATCACTTAAATATGAGCCAGCAGTATGCTGCAGCTGTCAAAAAAGCCAACACAGTGCTGGGCTGCAATAACATGGATAGAATCAAGATCACGTGAAGTATTAATACCACTCTACAATGCCTTGGTAAGGCCACACTTGGAATACTGCATCCAGTTTTGGTCACCATGATGGAAAAAAGATGTTGAGACTCTAGAAAGAATACAGAGAAGAGCAACAAAGATGATTAGGGGACTGGAGGCTAAAGCATATAAGGAACGGTTGCTGGAATTGGGTATGTCTAGTTTAATGAAGAGAAGGATGAGGGGGGACATGATAGCAGTGTTCCAATATCTCAGGGTCTGCCACAAAGAAGAGGGAGTCAAGCTCTTCTCCAAAGCGCCTGAAGCCAGGACAAGAAGCAACGGGTGGAAACTAAGCAAGGAGAGAAGCAACCTAGAACTAAGGAGAAACTTCCTGACAGTTAGAACAATTAACCAGTGGAACAACCTGCCTCCAGAAGCGGTGAATGCTCCAACACTGGAAGTTTTTAAGAAGAGACTGGACAGCCATTTGTCAAAATGGTATAGTGTTTCCTGCCTGAGCAGGGAGTTGGACTAGATGACCTCCAAGGTCCCTTCCAACTTTATTATTATTATTATCATTATCATTATCATTATCATTATCATTATCATTATCATTATTATTATTATTATTATTATTATTACTACTACTATTATTATTTAAATGTACTTATAATAAATAAATTTATACATATATAAGTAAATATATTTATAATAAATAAATATATAATGACATAAAGTTATGTCATTATAAAATGACATAAATATGTATGCATTATGCTTCAATCAAATGAGAAATAGTTACTGTACTTCAAAATGGGGAATAATTGGCTGAAGCAATTATACAAATTCAAAAGGTTGCTGAATTTTATTTATATATATTATCAAGGGAAAAATAGCTTGGTTAAAGCATCCATCTATGATGAATACAGGCTTCCTTTCCCTTCTTGCTAGAAAATTTCTGTAAGCAAATGATACATATAAACATTCTCAAATTAAAATCACATCAATCCACATTCCAGAGTGATTTTTTTTATAACTTCACCTTATGTGGATAACTGTCATCCATGATCCTGATTGATTAGTTTGAATTTTGCTGACATGGGTAAAACTACTCCCAAGATTAATTAAAAAAAGATTAAGTCAGCTCCATTCTCAGATCAGTAGACTTATCTAGCACAAAGAAATCCAAAGATGTTAGCTACATTTTGAAATAAAACAAAATAGATGTTACTATATAAAACTGATCAGAGTAGCTATTTCAACTTAATATGAACCTTAACCTTTGATGGTACTTAAAAGGTAATTTCCTGAGGCTTTGATCCACACAAAAGACAAAACAAAATCTCTAAATCAGAGGTGTCCAAGCTTGACAACTCTTAAGACCTGTGGACTTCAACTCCCAGAATTCCTTAGCCAGGCACCCTGGTTGCAAATTCTGGGAGTTGAAATCCATAAGTCTTAAAGTTGCCTCCTGCTCTAAGTGAAGCTTTCCTATAGGTGGTTTCTAAAGACAGAGGTTCAAACTGGCCAGTAATGATACTGGAAAATCTGACCAGGATTTTTATAAGATGTTCTGGTTTAGAAGAATGCTGGATCATAAGAAAATCAGCATGGACAGCAGATTCATACAGTTTTTACTCCCTCAATGTCTCTTGTTTGGAGAATGATCTAAATATGGGGAAAGGAGGATTGGATCTATCCAAGTACCCACCACCACTATGCTGGGCCTTCTGGAACAAGATTCTCCTCTGAAATGTGGATGGATCTGGAGATCCCTCACTTCATTTAGCTTGCCATCTTTATCTTTTATTGATTTTACTTTAATTGATTTGATTGTTGCGAGCTACCCATAGCTGTTCAAAGTTGGGCAGCAAGCAAGTTTAATAAATGGTATGTGCTCAACCATGTGAAATCACAGCTACAGACTTTAGCTGGTGTTGGCCTTTATAAACATTGATTCTTCTCAAGAACTTAGGATGTGATAATGTATCAGCATAATATATCCAATGTGGTCTTTTTTATTGACAGATGGAAATTTTGTCCATGTGCAGATCTTTTAAGTGCTGCTAAGATTTTTTGGTATGGCACCTATTGTGTCACCACAGGACTACCAGAGGATCAATTGTCTAGTGTATTTGCCATAATCTTTCAACTTTGATTTTCAAAGCTTGATATTTTGTAATCCTTTCCAATTATTGTCTTCTATTATACTATATCCTGGTACTGCCATATCAATTATCCACAGTTTCTTTTTCTCAAACATAGTTACATTGGGTGTGCTGTATTTAGAAACCCCACAATATTTTAATTTGCTAATTTTTGACCACTGTTTCAACTATATGTTCCTACCATTTTTTCATTACTGGAACTTGACGATTTTTATGGTTGTTCCAGTAAATCATTTTGACAACTGTGACTTTATCATTAATATTATTGTGGTTGATCGCAGAATCAGTCAGATGTTTAGACTGGATTTAGCATTTGATCCACCATGGAGTCCTTCTCAAGGACCTGCAATCATCAGATGCTATTTGATAGTGTTAAAGGTATCATTGCATAATGTAAGCTGTTCCAAGTAAAGCTGCCTTTTGCAATTGTATGATAGGGATTCTGTCAGTGCTGATGGTATTCAATTAGTGCTCCAAGTGATTTGGGATTGTACCCAAGACACCTGTTACTATTGGTACTATCTTTGCTTTCTGTTGCCATTGTCAGTCTACTTCTATTTTTTCTCTTCTGTCTGCTGTCTCCAGATACTGCCACATTGACTATCCAGACTTTTTTTTTTTTTGCCTTTCTTACCTTATTAGGTTTGGGCAAGTGCTTGTCTGTTTATATTCTAAAGTCCCAGAGCATATTAGCATCTTCATTTTCTATTACTTTGTTTATGTTGTGGTCCCACCAGTTCTTGCTTGCAAAGAATGGTATTTTTTGCAGATAGGAAAGAAATGCACCATTGTTGCTGCTTTGTCAGGTCTTTGTGGTCAGTCTGTGTTATCTTCTTGCAATTGCTAACTATGTGGTCCACTGTCTCTTCAGCTTCTTTGCAGAGATGGCATTTGCTGCCTGTTGCTGTCTTCTGGTTTTGCATAGATGTGTTCTTAAGGCTTGGTCTTGTGCAGACAGAATTAGACCCTCTTCAACTGTCCTGCTCTTTGCCATTGCCAGGTCTTGTTATCTGCTTTGCCCATTAGTTTTTTTATGCACTGGCCATATAATACTTTGCCTTGCCATGTCTCTTTTCTATTCTGCATTTGGTCTTTCTTGTAGGCCAGTTTGGTCTCTCCAGTACTCACTAAGTCTTCATGGTATATTATCTTCAATGCATCTTCTTCACTATCCTTCAGCTATTCTTCCTATGCCCTTTTTTTCTTGTTCAACTGTCTGGGTATTTGCAACATTACAACATTATTGTTATGTTATTATTATGGTTGATAATGGTTGAGTCAGCCACATGTTTAGACTGGATTTGGCATTTTTATTCACTTATTAAATCTTTCCTAAGGATCTGGGACTATTATATATTAATAATAATAAATTATGGTTTGTCAATTATTAATATAAATCCCAAGATTGTCTTCTATAGGAGGCTAGCATAATTGCCTCCCCCTCTGAAATAAAATCCACCTAGATATTCTAAAGGTACTTTTGGAAACGTCTGTAAAATTTGATTTTTTCATTA